GGCGGGGCGGGTGCTGCGGCCGGGCCCGGTTCGGCCCGGCCCGGTAGCCGCGGGCCGCAGGGCTCTCACTGACTGCAGCGTCCGGGCCCCGCTCCGTGCGGCCCGCGGTCCCCSCCGGCGCCGAGGCAGCCCGGGGAGCAGGGAGCGCCCTGCTCGGGTTCTCATGGTCGTGAGGGCCCCCCGGGAGGGGTCCCCGGTCCCTCAGGGTGCCGCCGCTGTGGCCTTGCAGGACAGCAGCAGCCACAGGACAACCCCGTGTCCCCAGGGATTTGCCGCAGCTGAGGTGGAGGYGTCTGTGCGGGGAGGGCTCCCCTGGCCCTGCAGCCCACCCCAGAGCCCAGCAGTGAGACACGGCTTGTGCCGTCCCTGTGACCGAGCCCGGTGCTTCCCGCACGGAGCCCGCTCTGCAGCGCTGGGAGCAGCCTGTCGGGTAGCAGGGACCAGCGCCGGGGAGCCAGGGCCGCACACGCTGCACCCCTGGGGGAGCGGGGAGCCTGCGGCAGCCCGTGCTGGGGGCCCGGCTGTGCCCAGGCACTGCGTGCGATGCRTTCACGCGCCCGGGCCCCCTGCACCATCAGCTCGCTCTGTGCTGCCAGCGCTCACCCACACGCACACCCTGTCCCTGTCCTGCCTGGCAGGCTCGCGGGCCCCGTTATCCCCACAGCAGTGCCAAGGTGCAGGTGCTGCCTGCGCATGTCCTGGGCGCCCTGCAGCCTGCAGACCACGTCTGGGCACCGACACGCGCGGTCCCTGCGCGGCCCTGCTCCTYGCGGCTGGTGTCACTGACCGCCCCGCTTGCTGCTCGTGCTGCAGCACCTTCCTGCAGGCAGCAGCAGCACCTCGCTCAGGCCAGGCAGGTCGGGGGGTGCGGGACTGGCTCCAGCAGGTGCTGGTCACACTTGGATCCACTCGCGCCCATCAGCCCGGCTTCCACTGCCAGCTCCCTGTGCAGGGCCAYGCAGCCTCCTCCGCGTCTCCCAGGGATGGTGGCTCCCACAGCCTCCCATATCGACAATCCCTGGAGCAGGGCTCTAGTGCTGACTCCCACCCAGCGCTTGCCAAGAGCCTGGAAGCGCCAGGAGGCCCCGACCCTGCTATACCAGGCTCCGGTACATCAAGCAGGGTGTTATCCCTGCAGGGAGGCCAAGGGAAAGAGCCTCAGCCCGCTCCGGCTGGGCCATGGCTGATAAAGGAGCGCAGTGGGGAGCAGAGCCGAGCGACCTCGCAGGCGGCCTCGGGGCTATTAAAGGAAGCCGGGTCTCCAGCAAGGCGCCTCTTCCCCAAAAGCAGCCAGAGGATGAGGGGGCTGTGCGTGGAGCTGAGAAATCRCTGCCAGGCAGTGGGAGAGGAGCCCTCAGCGCTGAGCAAAGCGCGAGGTGCCTGTGTGCTCCCTGCTCCTGCGCACCTCCATCCTGGGGAACTGCCGAAACTGTGTCAGCTATTTTGGACTCTGCAGAGGAATACTCGGATCTGCCTCCAGCCATCCTGGCTGGGGTTCAGGCCCCAGGTGAGGGGTGGCCACAGCGTGTGGGCTGTGACTGCTCCCAAACCGGGAGCACCGGGGCGAGGAGCAGGGCTGGGGACAGCCAGGCCCTGAGCCTGACGTGTCCTTGGGGCAAGGAGCACGTCCTGGGGACACATCCAGAGCAGCGGGGCACCCTCCTCTGAGCCAGCCCGCAGCTCCACRCACCAGCACCAGAGTGATGAGAGATGGAGAGCCAAGAGCCAGGAGCCATGAGGGCGGCCAAGGCGGCCTCGGGGCAGCCAGGGCAGAGGGGCCCTGGGGATGCCCCGGACAGTGCAGCCTCCCWCCGCCCCCGGGCAAGGCCAGGGCCGCGGGCTCCGCGGCGTGAAGGAGCCACACGGAGCGATCCACAAGGAATGATCCATACGGAGCAATCCGCACTGTCCCACACCCCCCACCTCCACCCCTTCCTCGGGGGGAGCCCCCCTGCTCCTCACCCAGCCCCACGTTTTAGGCCCATCAAGCCACCCCAATCCACTCCTACACACTTGGCTGCGGCACTACTGACTCCCTCATCCCAGAGCCCATTTTGGGGGACGCCTTCCGCACAGCTCTGCTCCCAGGTGGCAGGAAGCCACTCTGCTTCCTGGGATGGCAACAACTTCTGTGTGGAGACGTCTTCAGGCACCCAGCAATGCAAGAGCTCCGGGGAAGAGCCAGGCTGCAGGATGAGGACAGAAGGGGGCAGGAAAYGAGAGGCCTGGTGCCAGTGCAGCCTGCCCGAGAGCTGAGCCAGGCGAGCGGCGGCGACGGGGCAGCAGCTGAGCCCGAGCTGCCTCCTCCCGCAGCAAGCAGGACGCAGCAGGACWGCCCCATACCCAGCGGCGACGCAGAGCCCGGGCCCATGGGCACGGCCTGACCGCCACCATCTCCTGCCACACTGCGGGACACCAGGCTCCGAGCCTGTCTCGGACCGGCTGGGCCTCGCAGCCAGAGCACAGGGCCTGTCCCAAGAGAGGGCAGCCAGGGCGACGCAGAAACAGGGGCATTGACGCCAGGGACGGGAAGCGAACCGAAGGGACAAGGGGTGCACCATAATGCAGGGCATTCACACCTCGCAGATGCCCTGACAGTTTTTATTGTCCTCAGAAGCAGGTGGCAGTTCAGCCACTCATCCAGTGCAGGAAAACAGCCCCGCACCTGCCCCACGAGGCAGCACCACTGATTGCAGCAACGCCATCGAGTCCCACGCTCAGCCTCTTCTCTTGGTCCCATCAGCGATTGATTCTCAGCCCTTTCCGTTCCTCTGCGTCTTGCCAGCACCTCCATGCTTGCCTACTGCAACGATCCTGCCTGCGTCAAGCGGCCGGCGGCAGCCCTGGCATCTCAGCACAAGCACAGCGCACGCGGCTGGCACGCGGGGCAGGCTGCTCAGCCAAACGTGCACCAAGGAGTTTCGCTCATGTCACACTCCAGCAAGATATTGAGGACAGTGCAGGGGGCTCCTGCCACGCTCAGAGCTGTCCGTGACTCGATTCGGTACCTCACGTTGTTTAGACCTCCTTCCCGATCCACCTTAAACTGCTCCTGAGGGACAGAAAGAGCATTCAATCCTCGCTGGCTTCTAGCGAAGGGGAAAGYGCCCGGGAAGGGAGCAGAAGAGCTGGCAGGGGAGGACACCAGCAAGGGGACTCGGAGCACACGGTAACCTGAAGCTGTAACTCTCAGGGCCCCCCCRGCCCGGGGGTCTCACCTGCTTCTGCGCAGCAATGCGCTTCTGGTCTCTCTTCCTCCAGGCTGGATCATGCAGGTGCTGGAAAGTCTCATATCCAGTCTCGATTCTGGTGGGACGGCGAACCTGGGAGGACAGCAAAGCTTCCGTAATGCTGCTACAAAGCTCCCCGCAGCCTGCTGTGCCTGCTGCTGGGGCAGGGATGTGTGGAGGGTACCAGCCTTGATCGGCTGCAGAGACGACAAGGAGGGCGACGCAGCCTCGCGGGGCCGCCGAGCTCTGCTCACCTGGAGCCCGGCTGCTTTGATGCGGCGATAGAACTCGTCGTCCTCCCGTCCCCAGCCCCAGAAGCGGTTGGACATGCCGTTGCACTGCAGCGAGAGCGGCTCTGTGGCAGCACAGCCCAGCAGAGCCCAACCTGGCCCCGCGACGCCTGGGCGGCCTCCCCTCTCYACCAGCCCGGTTCGATGGCAGCCCTGTCCCCAGAGTATTCCATCCCCTTTCCCTGCTTCCCACTCTTCCTGCACCACGATAGCGTCATGCACCCTGCCCCAGGCAGGCTGGGGCATCCCACCCGCGCGCTCACCAGCTCGTAGTGCTGCTTGGTGAGCAGCAGGATACCACCCACGTAGGTCTTATAGTGGTAGAGCGGGTGCAGCTCTGGGGACGCCACGTGGAAGGGCCCTTCCTCTGGGAAGCCGTAGTCCAGCTGCTCGTTGAGGGGCAAGAGATCGACGTCGTGCATGGCAATGTAGTCGGTGTCGTTGCCGCTCTCCAGGAAGCCCACGTTGATCAGAGACGCTCTGTTAAACCTGGGAGGCATCAGAGACTCTCAGCACCCAAACCGCGATCCCTTTGCAGGCACAGGGATGAGGAGGGCCTGCCACCACCAAGCACGTGCACAAAGGAGCAGCTCAAGGGCTGCACGACTGCCTGCTCTGACTCGTGCATGGGGCTACCCGTGCGGCTTTGGACTTGGCGTGTTGGGGAGCACATAGGGAAGAGCCCCAGCAAAACACCCGTCCTGTCCGAGGCAGGCAGGGAGCACCAGGMGGCAGGCACAGCTGGTGGGCAGCCACGGAGCAGCCAGCACGGCGCCGGTAAAGCTGCCGGCACCCTCATTTCCCAACACCCCGAAGTGTTTGAGCTCCAGTGTCCCCACGCACTTGCTGCTACGGGCCTGCTATGCTGGCAAGGAAACAAAAATGGACTGCCTGTGGATGAATGATCTTGCTTAGGATGGGCTGCAGAGAGAGAGACAAAGAAACGCCTGGTCTTCCTATGCGCTTATCCCCTGGAAAAGTTTGCACCGCTCTGGCAAGTGAATCCAGTCAAACCCGGGTGAGACGCGTCCGACCCATCGTGCTGCAAGCCCAACTCGCCCCCGACCCCACGGAAGGGTCCCCAGCGCCTCCCGTCGSCTCCCACCACGGGCGGCGTGCAGAGGGGGGCCGTCCCGGCGCCCCGTCCCGGCGGTGCCGCACCTGAAGTGATCCACCTGGTTGAGCACCAGGATGCGGTGCCGGACGCGCTTCCCGCTGAGGAAGCGGTGCATGTGGGGCACGAAGGCCAGCAGCTCCTCGAAGCGCTCGCGGAAGGGCACGAGCAGGGCCAGCCGGTGCGGCCCCCAGCCCGGGTCATCGTCCGGTAACGGCGGCGGGGGCTGGGGCGGGCAGGGCTGCCGGGGCGCCGCGGCACCGGCACCGGTACCGGCCGCCTCGCCCGCGCAGCTGAGCTGGAGCCAGAGCAGCGAGCCCAGGGCCAGGAGCAGCGCGGCCAGGAAGAGCTGGAAGATGGAGAGCCTGCCGGGCAGGAGGCCCCGCGG